ATAAAGTTACTGACTTCTTGGCCTCTCTAGCTGTGCAATATGGTGGGAGAATTGACTTCGCTGTTGGTGAGGATTTGCCAATAACGGGAAAAATGATTTTACAACAAGATCAATATGGATTTCCTTATGTAAGATTGAAGAGGATGGTAGTTTGTGCTCAGAGGCAGGGGATTGGTTGATTGATTTGTTTTTCTGTTCCAGTCAGGAGGGTTGACTGTGTAGGCAAAATGGCCCATTCTCTCTGTGTTCTTATCTGTGTTGACTGTTCTTATGCACTATTGGATGCTATTACTCTTTTCTTGCTTATTTCAGCTGCCTTATGTTTGCATCATCTGTTCATTCTATGCAGCTAGGGGGGCATTTATGTGGTTTTTCAGTTGTTTTTGGTCAAGGCATACTGTTCACACGACTATTCACGTGAACAGTCTACTCCTCATTGCTAGTGGTCTCTTTCTGCTGCTCCCTTCTGTTTTTACTTCTTGCTGCTTTTGATGGGCTTTGTCTGTCGATTTTATTGCTGGTTCTCAGCTGCATTTCTGCTAGTCTCTTAGCTGATTTTTAAGCTGTTTTCAACTGGGGATCACATCTCTCATTCAAGCTTCTGCTGGTCTTTTCAATCATTCTATTTGGCACACATTGAAGGCTTTCCAGGATTTTGCACAGCTGGACTTCAGTTTGGATTTCAGCTGGTTTTTCATGTCTCTTTGTGGTTCTTTGTTGGTTCTTATGGGATGCATTTACAGTTGTTTTCTCGGCTGGATTCTCTCTTGCACATTGGTTATGCTCAGCTGGTTTTAATGTTTTTCCAGCTGGTTTAGGGTTTAGGGTTGTTTTTCTAGTAATCCTATTGAGGATTTCTTTTTAAAGCTAAAATTTCTTAAAGTTCGATTGAGAGGGTGGAATAAAGAAGTTTTTGGGAACATGTTTGAAAAAATTAAGTTGCAGGAGTTGGAAGTGTGTAATGCTGAAAGAACACTAGAATCTGACTATTCAGAGGACAGTTTTTTTACACTGGAGAATGCAAGAAAGAGTTTGGATGATACTTTGCGGCTAGAAGATGTTTTGGAGGCAAAAAGCAAATGTAAAGTGGGCTTTAGAAGGGGAACGGAATACAAAGCTTTATCATGCTATAACAAAAGGGAAGGCTGTCAGGAACATAATTAAAAGAATTAAAAGTGAGGATGGGGTTTGGGTTTGCTCTGAGGATGAAATTGCTGATCAAGCAGTGTCCTTCTTTGCGTCCTTATATAAATCTGAGGATCATGTCCTGGATGATGTATTGTTTGAGGTAATTCTGAATCTTGTAAGTGATACAGATAATGAATCGCTTACTTGCCTTGCTTCCATGGAAGAATTGAAGGATATGGTGTTTTCAATGTCGGTGGAAAGTGCACCAGGAGTAGATGGGTTCTCTGGGAAGTTTTTTCAGGTTGCTTGGGAGGTGATTAAGGTAGGTTTGTTAAAGGCTGCAAAGAAATTAAATCCAACAAGCTTTGCAGAGTTTAGGCCTATTAGTTTATGCAACTTTTTGTATAAGATCTTTACAAAGTTGCTTGCTAATAGGCTAGCTGTTCTTTTGCCTTATTTGGTATCAGATGCTCAGTACATGGTCTCTGAACTGGACAAAAAAGTGGAGGCAGGGAATGTAATAGTTAAGCTTGACATGATGAAGGCGTATGATCGTATTGAGTGGGATTTTCTGAAAAAGACTTTTGAGGTGTTTTGGTTTTTCTGATCTCTTTGTGTCCATTATTGGAAATTGTTTGAGTAATCAATTCATATCAGTGTGTTTAAATGGTTAGAGAAAATGTTTTTTCCCACATCACGGGGGTTGAGGCAAGGGGATCCAATATCCCCGTCGCTTTTTATTTTGGCAAAGGAGGTCTTAAGTAGGGGCCTGTCGAAGTTGTTTATTGAGAGGAAGATTAAGTCTTTTCATACTGGGAGAGGGGCTTTAATGGTCTCTCATTTGCTCTTCACTGATGATACGTTGTTGTTCTTGAAAGGAAATAAAACTTCGATGGAGATTTTGTTTTCTTTTTTGAGCAAGTATGAAGAATGTTTTGGGCAGAGGATTAGCAGACAGAAAAGTTCTATGTATTGTTCTGCAAAGATTTCTCAGGCAAGAAAAGTGATTTTATCGAGAGTTGCTCAAATTCCTATAAAAGAATGTCCTTTTATGTGCTTAGGTTGTCCTATGATTAAGGGAAGAAACATAATTAGGGATTTTGAAAACCTTTTTCTTAAATTTAAAGCTAAGCTTGAAGACTGGTATGCAAAATTGCTGTCCAATATGGGAAGAGTAGTTTTGGTGCAGACAGTCTTAAATGCAGTACCAGTGCATCTACTGTCTTGCTTAAATCTACCTAAAGGTATTTTAACTAGGATTAATTCTTTGATGGCCTCTTTTGTCTGGTCTGGTAAGGAGGGAGTTAGGAAGAGACATTTGGTTTCTTGGGAAGATATAACAAGGACAAAGCAGGAAGGGGGCTTGAGAATTAGGAAATTTGAGGATGTTCAAGCCGCTTTCTGTATGAAGCAGGTTTGGAGTATTTTGCAAGGGAAGTCTCTGTGGGCTAAGGTTTTCTCTGCAAGATTTTTGAAAAATCAACATGTGTTGAGGCATTCGGGGCAATGGAAAGCCAAGGTTTTTCGAATGTTGAAACCATGGTTTTCGTCTGTGGTTTCTCATTCTCGTTTCATTGTTGGAAATGGGGAGCTAGTGAATTTTTGGTGTTCTAATTGGCTTAACGCTGGGCCGTTGTTGGACAGACTTGGTGTTATGCCTCAAACTTTTCCACGAGTTGTAGAAGTTTATACAAAAAGAGTTTGGCAGTGGTAGAAGTTGGGTGGTCTAGTGGATGATGGTATGAAAGATGAGATCCTAAATTTGAGAATTGTTTTGTCTGATAGGACTGATTTACTGGTTTGGAAATTGAATGATTCTGGGCAATTTTTGGTCAAATTAGCTTGGCAAGTGGTAAGGCATGTTGGGAATGAAGATGTGGTGGCTAAAGCGATATGGGATCAGGCTGCTCCACCTAGTGCTAAGTTGTTTTGCTGGAAAATTAGCAAAGGTGCAGTGGCTTTGGATGTTCAATTTCAGAAGTTGGGGGTGAAATTAGTGAGTAGATGTTCGCTATGTTATAAAGCAATGTAATCCGGAGCTCATGTGTTTGTTCGCCGTGACTTTGCTGCAAAGGTATGGCAATACTTGGCTAGTTTTTTTGGGTTTATTTTGATTGAGAATGAAGGTCCTATGGGAAGATTAATGAGATTAATAAGAATTTTTAGAAAACAGTCCCTTAGTCATATCCTAGTTAGGAGTGTGGCTTTGGTTGTTTTCTGGTTATTATGGAGGGAGAGATGTAGAAGGGTTTATGGGGAGGGCTGTTTATCTGCCTTTCCTATTTTTCAGAAAACTTGTACTGTCATTAGGCTACAAGCCTTTGGTATTCGGCCCAGAGTTCTTAACAGTATAGATGGGGAGAAAATTTTGCAGGAATTGGGGGTTACAAGTCGTGGTAAAATTCAAATAAAAGCAGTGTGGGTTAATTGGTCCTGTCCAATGGAGGGGTGTTTGAAATTAAATGTGGATGGAGCCTCGAAAGGGAATCCGGGACGTGCTGGTGATGGTGCTGTGATTCGAAACCAATGGGGTGATTTGGTGGTTGCAGGGTCTTTTTTTTATGAAAACTGTTCTAATATGGAGGCAGAACTAAGGGCATTGAAAGATGGTATATGTCTTGTTGAAAAATATGATTTGCAAGGGTACCGAATTCAAGTGGAGGTTGATTCTGAAATTATGGTTAATATGGTTATGAAGGGGCACTTACGTGCTTGGAAATATTGGGAATTGCTGAGGCAAATTAAGGTGATTTTGGGGAGATTAAATTTCCATTTAACACGTGTACAGGGAAGGCAATTCGGCAGCTGACTTCTTTGCAAACTGGGCAGTGCAATGTGGATGTTCTTTGGAGTTCTCTGCTGCCTTGGATATTCCTCATCCTGCTAAGAGATTGTTGCTGCTTGATAAGCAAATGCATAAATTTTTCAGAAAGAAAATTGTATTTTCTTGATTCTCATTGTATAGGTTAGCAAAAGCAAATTGTAAAGGCAGGAATGTCTATTTTTTTCTTTGATTGTAAAATTTTGGTTATGGAATAAAAGTGTTGATTTGTTTTAAAAAAAGAAAAAAAAGAAAAAAAAAAGGGTTTAGGGTTTAGGGTTTAGCAGGGAAGAGAGACAAACCAGAATGGAACCCAATTGTGTGTGACGTGTGTTGCTACGACGTTATAGCAATGTTGCTCCCAACTATTCGTTGAGGGTAAGGTCCGATACATTAATGCACATGATGAATTTAAGGGTAATGGTTGCATGGGGTAGGCTATGTTTGATATGTTGCCCACCCCCCGAGAAAGGGGGAGGCAGTAGGTTGGCGTAGCTTGGCTGAGGGGGGTGGACTGTTGTGTATGCAACTAGAGCTGGTGGGGGCTTAGAGCAATATTGATTGTGTTATGAAAAATCTTGAGAAGTTTTGTTATAGCATTAGAAAAGCCAAAAAGCAAAATCCCCTCCTTTTTATTTTTATAGAAAACACCATCTTATTAAAAGTAAAAAAATGAAGAGCAGAGATGTGTAAGTAGTCCATCCCAAATACAAACCATTGAAAGCAGTACATAAAAAGGGAAAAAAACCAAACCAAGAAAACAAGCTAATCAATCACAAGCCGCCTTCCAGTTTGCCAAGATTTCAAAAAATGGAATATTAGCAAATTTTTCAAAGCACAAAAATAGTTGCTAAAAAGTGAATTCGGTTCCAAAGCCCATCAAACTATTCATACTTATCTTCAAAGATTCTTGAAATTTTCTCCAACCAAATCCCCAAATTATTGCAAAGAAAGCACATCCCCAAAGAGTACTTCATTTACTTCCCTTTTGAAAACCTTTATAATCCACATCCAACATTGTTGAAATTGTGAGAATCAAGAAAGAAAGACGATGGAGATTACGATTGATCATAAGCATTTTAAAGTCAGATCTGAAGGTTTGCATGGTGAACTGGTTCGCATAATGGAATGGAATCGGTTTGGATATTTCTCATGCTTACTGAATAGAAGTTGTGTGAGATGGTTGAAGGAGATGTTTTCTGAAGCTTTATCCTGGAATCGACGAGATATTTTCTTTAGAAAGTTTAGGAGGGATGGATATTGTATGTGGATGCAACTGGAAAATAGCAGGTTTGGGGAGTTTGCCAGGATTACACAGATGATGAATAATGGTAGAAGAAAGGGTTTGATTATTCCCCAAGGCTCCCAAGGCATTGGATGGAAAGGGTTTAGAGGATTGATGGAGGATGTTCTTTCGGGTGGAAGGAATACAAGGATACATGAAAAAGAAAATCAAAGTCTGATGGTAGTATCAAAATCTAGAGTTAGGGAGCAAGGAAATGGGGGATGGGTTGAGATGCATAAGGAAAATACTCCTGCAAATAATAAGGGGGATGCAAATATGCTTAAAGAAGAGGTTAAACTGAGGTGTGTTGTGGTATGTGTCCAAGCAAGTTCGATTGTCTCTTGGGATGTACTCTAGGCATGCTTGGTACAGGCTTTAAAAATGAAGATTGATCTACAGCTTTTCCAAGTAGACAAAGCCATTTTTTTTTCTACGAAGACAGATTACAAGTTGTGAGAATTTATGTAGAGTGGAAAATTTGGCATTGAAGTGTGTGGTGACGTACAGTTTCAACATTAGTGTCATGAATCCAATACAGATAGAAGTCGTGTACCCTTTTGGGTGGATGGATAGCAGTTGAAGGTCTAGCATTTCATCTATGGCAACCAGAAGTCTTAAGAAGATCAGGGATTGTTGTGGGGCTTTCATTGAAGTTGATCGGCAAACAGAAAATCTCAAAAATTTGTTTGAAGCTCTAATTAGAGTTCATAAAACCAGTAATGGTCTTCTAAAAACATTCTTCAGTGTGGATATTAATGGAAAATTTTTTCTAAGGTTAAGGTGTTGAAGAACACAGGATTGTTCAATCGAAACGAAAAAGGAATACTACAAGGTGAAGGTAGTAAGGAGATTTTGTGTATTGGGCAAAAGGTCAAAGACGAGAGTTGTAGCATATTGGAAAATCAATCGGCCAAAAAAAAGTTGCAAACAAAAGGGGGATTACGTGTCAAGAAGAGAAAGGAGGAGGAGGAGGAGGGAGTTTGTGCACCACAAGGCCAGAATAAATGCAAAGATTTGGTTTGATTGAAAAAAATTCTAATGACTTGATTAGTGCCATTAATCTTGCTGATTTCTAACAGAAAATATTTGATAAGGATAATTCAAATAAGGAATGTAATTTGAATTCAAAATTTGAGTTAATTAAGGATAAGGTAGAGGAGATGGATCATGAAAGGTGGGTTTTGTTAAGAAAGGAAGGTGTGGGCTGAGATAAAAGAAACAAATGGGCTGGAAACAAATGTTTTTACCAATGGGCTTGGTAAGGTGGGCCATTTTAATTTAAGAGGGTTTTACAGAATTGTGGAGGCCTGGTCCACAAACCTTTGTTTGTTGGGCAGAGCTCGAATGATAGGGCTCTCTCACACGGGCAAATGGCTATCTTCATAGATGAAACAAAGGCTCTCCTCAAAGTTGAAAACTGATGGTTAAGGTTGCTGAAGCTGATCGTCGAGCAAGGGGGGGGGGGGGGAGTGGAGCCTCTCATGACAATGGGCAAAGGAAGTAGTGAAAAAGGGACTATAGCTGTAGAGGAGATTTGCGATGGTTGGCAGAGTCAGAGGGAAGATTTTGAGGTCTGTTTCAATAGTATGGATGGGGAGAGGACATAAATTTGTTTTCAGAAGATGAGGAAGATTGCTGCGAGAAATTCCAAAGATATAAATTAGCTAACAAGGAGGTAAAAAAGATAGTTAAAGACGCTAAGTTAAAAGCCTACAACGAGTTGTACAAAAAACTAGACAGTAAAAGGGAGAAAAAGACATTTATAAACTAGATAAAATTAGAGAAAGGAAAACAAGAGACTTTAACCAAGCTAAGTGCATTAAGGGCGAGGACTCAAAGGCTTTAAAAAAAAATGAAGAAATAAATGATTGGTGGAAAGACTATTTTGAGAAACTATTAATAAAAATCACTTAAGAAACTTAGAAGAGATAGAAAATTGAAGGATTCATGAAATGTTCTTTCATAAGAAACTTAGGGTTTAGGAGTTAGGATTTTAGGGTTTAGGGTTTAGGAGAGAGAGGCAGTTATTTCATTCTAGAGAGAGAAGGTCTGACTTCTCTCTAAAAATTGTTCACAATTTTCTCAGATCTTCCTTTTTTTGGCTGATTTTTCATTATTCTTTGTAATATCTTTGAATTCTTACTGTCTTTGATTGTTTAGTATGAATCTTGGCCAACAAACTCGTCAAATTCCCCCAAAACCGCCTAACATTATTAGAAATTTTGCCTGGTTGTTCAAGAAACCTTCAAATGTGGAAAATTCTATAATGATTCCTGTTGCTTCAGAGATTAATTCCTTGACAATTGTTGATCCTTTGGGATGTAATAACACCATTTCTATGCCTCTGATTTCTCAATTGAATCAAAACAAGCCGACAGTTCAAGTTCTTCCTTCGGTTGTGTCATCTTCTTCGTATAATCAACTTTCATCCTCTGAGTTAGGTATTCAGGTTCCTTTCGATTCTTCAATTGTTCGAAACACTTAGGGAGTTAACCTACAATCTAATTCTTTAAACTCCCAAATCCATTTTGAACTCTCAAGATCCTTCGATGGATCGAACTATCCCAAATGTTCAGATCTCTGTTCCCGATAAAGAAATTGAAAATTTTAGCTGGAATTTTGAATATCCAGAATCCTTCTGGTATTCAAGTTCCTTCTTCTTCAATTCTATTTGGTTCTTTGAATTCTGTAAATCCTCCTAAGCCTGCTAAGAGAG